GTTTTTTGATATCTTTTCAAATAAAGTCAGAAAAAAATAAAATTGATATTGTCAAATTCTCGTTTTTCCCAAATATCTCAGCAGGCCATGAAAATTCTTCAAGTTTATAAACGGTATGTAAATAAGCTTTAAATAACACAACTTTTTCCTAATTTAACCTAAGCTGTATCTCCAACAGGTACTGAGATCCCATGCTTAGGATCCTTATCTTGGACACACTGTATACTGTAAAGGTGCAGTCTGTCATCCAGAAAGGCTTTCTTTTGATGATCACGCACATAAATGATGTCAACATCATGTAGATATTCCTTGAGGATGCTATCCAGTAGATGATATTCCACGAAGCCTGAAGAATAGTTCAAACCATGAATTTATTTTCCGCATACACATCGCTTTTTCTATCGTCTTTGCTCAAGGAGGAGAATGCTTTCGGCAGTAGAAGCAGAAAAGTGTTACATTGATTACCTATCTTGATGGCAATCTCCTTGGGGTGGAATTGTTGCTGAACAACAAATCTCTGAATATTGACGACTGCTAGTCTCATAGTACGCAACTATATACAATTGGTACAATTGTATATAGTTGCAGGACGTATAAGTGATAACACCTTTAAACAAAAGTTTCAAAATTTTTTTATTAACCCGAAACTTCGAGTTTCCATCTTCAATACTGACGAAATTCAAAGCAATCTTTGAACCTCTATTTTTCTCCAGCGCATAATGCCCCGTCGTCTTACGGTAGACGCGACGCGTAATGGCTTACTGTGTTGCGTCAAGTTAAGCTTTCACATTTATGATATTGGTACAGATCAATGGAATCAGCAAAAACTCATCTTGGGCAGAGATGAATTTGCCATACATTTGTGGAAACTATCAATTCAGTGTACCATGGTACTATGATTCAACATTTGCTGGTGTCACGAAGGTGGAGTGAAACTTTTTTTTGTTTAATTTCAGGGTATAGTCAGTGCGTTTTGAAACCAAAAACTACCGAGGAAGTTTCCAAAATATTGTCGTTCTGCAACGATAATCGTGTTGCTGTATGCCCGCAAGGTGGTAATACTGGCTTAGTTGGTGGTTCTGTTCCAGTTTTTGATGAGGTGGTATTGTGGACTGGGTTGATGAACAATGTCATGAGCATTGATGAAACCTCAGGTAGGTACGTTGTAAGTTCGATAGAAATATTTTAAAAACTTGGTGCTGATCTGAAATTGTCGGTTTTACCTTACCAAGTTGCAAGGTTTCAGAAACAATTGTTTCTTTTTCATATGTCATGCATATTACTCATCAATGTGAAATATTTTGACGGGAATTTCAAGGTGTTGATGGATACAGTACCCCCTTACAACTATTATTATTCTCGAAATATGTCAAATTTTGACCAAGTTTACTTGAAGTACTTTCCTGTTTCTAAGAGGGACATATTTTTAGGTGCTCTGGTTTGCCAAGCAGGCTGCATCTTGGAACATCTTGATAACCAACTAGCTGAAAAGAATTTGATGATGCCTCTAGATTTGGGAGCCAAAGGTTCTTGTCATATTGGAGGTAATGTTTCCACCAATGCCGGAGGTTTAAGGTTACTCCGCTATGGAAATCTCCACGGAACTGTTTTGGGGGTGGAGGCAGTGAGTGTTGCTATTTCTTCTTTTTTATTTTCGTAGTATGAAACATAAGAAGTTTCAATTCTCATTTCTCATAACCAGAACGTATTCAAAGGATATCGGATTCAATGGAAACGTAAATACCTGAATTTGCTAATGTTGTTCCACTTACTGAAACTTTTTAGGTGTGATATGATTTTTTGCA